TTTTTTTTTTTTTTTAGAGACACGGTCTCACTCTGGCTCAGGCTGGTCTCGAACCTGTGAACTCAGGCAATCTACCTGCCTCAACCTCCCAGAGTGCCAGGATACAGGTGTGAGTCACTGCGCCTGGCCTAATTTTTCTATTTTTAATAGAGATAGGGCCTTGCTCTTGCTCAGGCTGGTCTCGAACTCCTGAGCTCAAGTAATCCACCCACCTCTGCCTCCCAGAGTGCTAGGATTACTGGCCTGAGCCACCACTCCCCGCCAAGAAAAATAACACTTAAAGAGTTCTCTCAAAGTAGTCTTACAATAAGCATCTCTTATGAAGTAGCACACAAATTTGCTTTGATATTAAAAAGACAATAAAGCAAAAGGTTTCTCTTGGGTGGCTTTTTAGAAAGTATTACACCTTGAGCTCTTTATACAGCAAGCAATATATGCAAAAGTCCTACACCTCATCCCTAATTCCTGTCTCTTTCCTCACCCCATTTTATCTCTGGACTCTTATTTCCCCAAATTAGCTTCCTCCAGACTTGCCTTTTGCTCCAGGATTAAAATTAACATCACATTTCATCCTATCTGCCCTTTTGCCTATGATATCGTTCATTTGGCAAATTATTTGCAGAGTCCACCTCAGAATAGCTTGAACCTTTCTCCGTGTTTTCATGCTTTATTCCTTTAATCATTATCCAAGCCTATATTACTTGATTTATCTCAGCTGGATTATTGCAATAATTTACTAACTCTTCCCTAAGTACCGATCTCACCTTAATCTTCCTTTTTTCGAATTGATCCCACATATCACTGCATAAATATTTCAGAACTACAGCATTTATCACACTGTCCTTTAGTTCCAAAACCTTTAATGACTTAGTTTCCTACAAATTAAATATCAGTTTTCCAGCCTGGAATTTGACATACTCTTTGAGACTCAATCTTAAGCTAATGGTTCAATCTATCTGCTACACATACCATCTTCTCTTCTCCCTCCTTCTCCTCCCCCTTTCTTTTCTTTCTTCTCCTCTCTCCCCCTTACCACTCCCTCCTTCTTTCACTCTAATATCACAGGCAGTTTTTATGTCCATGAACCATCCTGGTGCAGTATCGCCACACAGATGGCTTTTTTCCTGTGCAGCCCTCTCTACCCACCCAACTGACAATTTCTTATGGAAAACCCATTTGTCCTTCGTGGACCCATCTCAGATGCCTCCTCCTTCAGGAAGACTTTTCTCATTCCAGCTTCTTTTCCTGATTTTTTTTTTTTTTTTCCTGGAAACTACAACACTAAGTGCCTCTATTTGAAACTGGCATGTGAAAGTGGTTAGAATCTCCTGCTCTGGAGTGCAGTAAATCCCGATTTGAGTCCTGTTTTGACCTTACATGAATGGTACACTGTTGGGCAAATTATTAAGCTCTTTAAACATCAGTTGACTTCTCCCTAAGATATAAGTGATGATATGAATGTTTGATATGAGTATGTGATACAAGGCTCAGAAGGCAGTTAGCACACTGATCCCCAAGTGACAGTTTGCATTTATTGAGAATATACACCACTAACTGCTATTATTCTGTTGCTTTTTATTATTTTTATTACTTGTATCTATCCTCCCACTAAATTATGAACACCTCAAGCATTGGTCTTTGGATTTTTCCTTGCAGAACTTACCCATTAAATGGAATCAATTAGTATTTGTTGAATCAAGTGAAGTGAATCTTACCACCACCACCAATAACAAATTCTTCATTAGATTTTTTACTCAGGACATTCACATCCTTAAGATATTTCACCATAAATAGAGTTGAGGGTCATCTGCTCATTCTTCCTGGTGGTTTCCGACTGTTGACCAACTCATACCATTACAAGCAATTGGCGTGTGGATTATTAGTCCCTGAGGGACACCAGCTAGCACCTTCTGTCCCTTTGTCTCCAATCTTTGTCATCTTCCCGTCCCATATCATTAATCTAATCATAAAGAAAGTATGTTACTCAATCCTGCAATATTTAAGGATTTTTCTTTTTAAAAAGTCTGAGTAAACCAGTAGAAAAAAATAGGAAAGCTTAGATAGACTATTCTCTTTTACTCCATGAATTTGTTTGTTTCCTTAGAAAGTTCTAATAATCATACTAATAGCGGATAGTTATTAAACCTTTGATATATGCCAGATATGGTAAGTGTAATGTCTACATCATATGATCTTTATTTTTCTCATTAAAGCTAACAACTCTATTAGGGAAATTCCTAATCTCATTGCCCAAATGAGGAAGCTGAGTCTTTGCATTGTAGTTTAAAGTACTGACTCAGAACCCTGACTCAAGGTCACCATTGGGATGGACTAGCTCTTTAATTACCTGTGAATCATGATTTTCTTCTGAAAGAAAGTATCTCCCTCTCCCTGTCCCCACTATCTCTTCCATAGCTCCCCACATTGCCCACCATGGGGCTGAATAATACTATGTTAAAAATTCTGTCTATTTACCTTGTATAAAGGAAGTAGACCTGAAAACACCTATAGCTTCTGTTGTGTTCTCTCTCTCTCTTCTCGATGGAAACCAAATGAAGCCTTTTGACATTCAGCCCCAGCAGGGTTGGCACTCCGAATGGCAGTCTCATTTTTAACCATGGATTCTGTAGCTTCTCCCAGTTTTATCCAAAACTTAGATTGCTAGCAACTGGTTCCAGTGATTATCTAAATCAGTTTTGTCTATTGGATCTAGAGTACTTAGCTTGCTGAATGTTAGTAAACCTAGTGCTCTGTAACTATCCACTTGTTTTTAATATGTCTTGGAAAGTCATATAAAGATATGTTTATATCCTAGCGAAATCTTCCCATTTCTCTTCTGTGTATAACTGAAATTTTTTTTCTTTACCCCATACAGTTCATTGTTTTGTCTGTAAGTAACTGACAATCTCTATTTCTCCCCCATTGCTAGAATATTCTTTCTACCTAATTGTCTAACATTTTGTATTTTTAATCCACCTTCCAGCTTACCTTCTGGATGCTTTTCTGCCCTTCAGAACATAAATGTACCTGTGTCCTGCTTTCTGGCATCTCAACTGTATTCTGGAAATTATCTAAACAAATAACATTAATGACCTATTTTCACATCTTTGCAAACTCTGTGTGAGATATGTATTAAAATAATTGTGTCCAGTCCTATTTGCTATGTTTATAGTCCATGAAGGGTATGCATATACAGATCTCTACATAACTCTGTCAAATATTTATAATATTGTGGGGTATTTCCCTTTAAAACAAATAAACACACATGAACTGGTCTTGAAGAGGCATCCATTGTTTTTTTTTTCTTTGAAAGTATTAGATTTATTGTGGACAAAACCAAAAAAATTACTTAAGCAGAAAATACATCGTTACATTGTGGAGACCATGACAAATCTACCACTTACAAAGACAATTTTAAGAATAATGTTGTGGGAAGAAGGAAAAAATGGGTACAAAACTCAATTTACATTCTGATCCAAATTCTGTTTTCAAAACTTACTAAAAAATACAAAATTTATTAAAACAAATATTAGTGGTTCTCATCTCAGAATTTATTTAATTCTGGTTATATTTTATATTTTGATAGAAATTTTAGTATTTTGATAGAAAAAATTAGTTATTGAAAAGCTAACATAAATATTTTTAATTGCTCTTCTTTCCATCTTGAAACAAATAATGGGTAACATTTTATAAAGAGCTTAGACATGGTCTATGTAAAAATTGTAATACTTATATTTATTAAACAGATATAATTTTCTACAAGTACTTGTACATTATAATCAATAAAATTGAAAGTTTTTATTCTTTTTTTCTGCAACAGCAATATTTTTATAATAATAATTTAAGAGTTGTCAAAAATCCTTCTAGCCAAAGAATTTCAAATATTGCGTGGAGTGGTAGAATAAAAGTTTTCTTTGAAATACTGAAAAAAAAAATCTTATGTAGTAGAAATGAACTTGAAAAACTGCATTTCTTCAAATAAATTGTAGGTGTTACCTTATTAAGTGAATGTAAAACTGCAGGATTAGAAATTACCAAAGTGTAAGTATCAGTATGACACATAGAATTTATTATGTTTTATAGGAGGGCTTTGGGGGGGGGGTTAAAGAAATATTTGTAAGATGGAAAAAGAAAGAGAATCTCTAAAGCCATAATAAAAATTCAAAGCTGAAATCTTGAAATCTATACTAGACTAAACATTTATATTCCAAAAGCCCCTGGTATAATACATGTGGGTGCTATCTATCAGCATGTGAATACGTGATACATTTTTCAGGAAAGATTTGTATTATACTTTCAATGCAAACTATAAAAATACTAAAGTAAAGATAACAGTATTTCAATGGCTAAACAAGATTTGAATCTCTGCTTTTAAAAGTCTTTAAAACAGTATTAAAAACAATGTGAATGCTTTAGATTTAGTATTTCTCAAATGCTGAAAAATGCACTATAAACATGTTAGTATATAAAAATTATTGCTTTTTGGTTACGTTAAAAGCCATACAACTTTCTCTGTCCACCAAGCATTTTATATTCAGAACTTTATTGAACCTACCTGTATATGAGAGTCCACAGACATATTTTCATATAAAAATTCCTATCCTCACATTTATAGAGAAGAATCATTTCCTCCTATATTATCTCTCTGATATTTGTTTTTATTTTTAACTTTTATTCTAGGCCTCTGTAATAACCTGCTTAACAGGCTTTACATAAATCAGCAATATCTGGACAAAAAATCAAAATTTATTATCAAATTTGAAATGCCATCATATTCCACAAATGCTAGAAGCTGATGTGCTTTTTTCTGTTTTTGTAATTCTTAATGATAATAGGCTTTCAAAGAAAACACATTAAAAATAAGCCTAATCTACTGATGAGAATATATTTAATGTATTTATTTTAGATTGCTGATAATTTGGAGAATACTTCATGCCCAGTGATTTCATCAGGCGTTTTGCTTCCTTAGTGCTGTTCTCAACTTTACAGCAAGGAGCCAAAATGTCACCATTTTCTATTTGGAGCAGAAATGCATTTGTAGCAGCTGTAGCTCTTAATTTGACATCTAGTTTCAGGTCATTTCCATGTAAATAGGAAACAATAGAGACCTGCTTACAATTTCCATAACAGGGATGTTTGCTTCAAGTTTATCATTTTCCTCTGGCAATTACTTTCTCTCTCTGGGATTAAAGGAGCCAATAATTGTTCATGGTTATTATTTTTCATCTTTATGAAAACTTGTTAGTTCTGCTCTTTATTACTCAAAAGTGCCCAGTGCCTTCCATATTTCAGCCATACACACTATCCATTAATGCTTATAGCTCATCCTTTCCTTAATCTGGGATAGGTTAGCTGGGTCAGGCTTTCTATTTCTTTCTATAATATATTTTCTCCAGGCTTTGCAGCCTCTTTTTCTACCTTAACAAAAAAAAAAAGAGTGAAAGTTTAGAATTATTGAATTCAACTATGCCTTATTGAACTGAAAGGCAAGTTTAAGTTTTGATTTATATTGCTTTCAACATGCCTGTATGTATTACTAGCTGTGACTTCACAACCATTATAAAATATAATTCTGTGTTTTTCTAGTAAGTATTTCATTTCATTTTCTTCTGTTCCAGAATAAAAGTCTATGCTTAAGCATAGCTGTGTGCTTACTTCCATGTTTTTTTATAATCTGTAATTGTCCAGTATGTCTCAATGGGGAAATTTTTTTATTTTTGCGTACTTTTAAAACATGTTGATTTCTGCCAATTCAGTTAAGTAGGAAGTTATTTCTGTAGGTAGTCATTTTCATTTGTTCCTCTTCTAGGAGTAAAAAGAATCAGATGGTCTTTCAAGCATTTTATTTCATGAATCTTGTGAACCTACCAGCAAATTATGTACCCCCTTGACTTCATGTCTGCTGGTGAATTACATTAGCTGATGATCCTGAGGGGTGGGTATGTGTGTTTTAATGTGCCTCATCTGGTTTTAAGCAGACACTTATCTATGTACTTGTTTTTTTCTGCCCCAGTGATATGACAAGAACTGTGGAGATTTCAGGGGAAGCAGGGCCGTTGGGAATACATGTAGTGCCCTTCTTTTCATCTCTGAGTGGAAGGTAAGATGTTTTTATTATTTCAGAAGCTCATGCTAGTGAAAACCTTAATATGATCTCCTTCTCCCAAATATTTTTTCAGAAAAGGAGTGTATAGTCTATTATTCAGATAGATACATCAAGTTAAACTGTTGTTGGCCACTTATATGTTAGGAAGAAAATAAAATCATTTGCTCTAAGATGTGATGAAAAAGAAAATCAATCACTGTGTCTCCATTTGTAATTAATTAGTAAATACTTTCTTAAAGTATCTTTGTCAGTGACAGGTAGTAAACAGAACCCATGGCAAAGATTTTAACATATCATTTGACAAATTCCACAGCTGAATTTGTTTTAATAATCCAGAATATTTTTCAACAAGTGAGTATAATAATTTCAAATTGATATTTCTTGATGTTTCTCAGGTATGTAGATTTAGAATAATAAATATTCTAACATTTTAAAGTAGCTGTATCAAAATCTGTACAAGCAAAATGTCATCATGCTATATATTTTTTTCTAGTATAAAATTTAGTCAATGAAAAATAACTTACCACATCCCTTTGGAATTTTAAGACATTATATTTCAAAATATATAATAGTATATTATATATTGTGGTAAATAGTAATTTAGATTATGTCAGCATTTCTTAAAATTCACGTTTATTTAACTAGATATAGGAAATTAAACTTATGTACCTCAGAGTTAATGTTAGGACTAGTGTAACAATCTTATGGAACTTGTTTTAGGTATTATGTCACTTTTCAATGTAATGACCATCTTTAACACGATCAGTATTGATAACAGTTGTCAGAAACTTAAAAGAAAATCAGTTTCTCACTCATATGCCATAATTTCAATTAATTTGCAAAATGTATTTTCTTAAATGTGTCTTTGAAAAGGCAGAATGGTTTATTTTACCTTAGGAAATTAAAGACCAGAAAAGTCAACTGATTTTCCCAAGGTCGCCCAAAATCCAGATCTCCTGATTTGTCCTCACTCCATTGCTCTTTCTGGAACTAAAATTTTCCCAAAGGTTATATAGTATTAATTTAATGGTTCTACATATTTATTCAGTTCAATCTACCCAATAGCAGGAAGAACAGGTTTAGTCATGGTATTTTGGTTGGCATCATATTGAGCAGGTAGCCATCTGCTACCTGTAATTGCAAAGTCATCACCTTTGTTTTTTTCTTCTGCAAATAACATCTGATGCCAAGCTCTTGTTGGAATAAATGTTCCCTAAAAATAAATGAGCCAGAAAGCTAGTGGCTCTTATTGTCTCATTTCCTGTATGTGTTAATAAGTGTGTTTATAAATGTTATGGGTTATGGCACAGGACAAACCGAGGTTGTTTTTGATAGACAGGGTGAATATTTGCTCAGTTGTCATGAGAAATTCTAATGGCTTTTGGCAGAAGTATATTGATAGAGCTTTGTGAAATACCAAAGCAGTTAAAGTATCGGGCTTTTTAGTTTAATGAAGCTGGAATGGAACACAAGATCCTCCCAATTTCCAGAAATGAGGAACTATACAATGTGACAGTCACTATACTTCATTTTCAATAGTCAGGAAAACAAGCCGACCTTACAGGCCAGAAATCCCCTTCTTTCACTGCAAATGAGGGAAATACACTGGACTCCCTTTTCCTTCCTGGGTCAGATCCCTAGCACAGCCTTATATAGAATAGTAGCAAGCATATTGGACTCGAAGTCAGAGCAATTGGATTTGAATTCCAGTGTTCTTTTTTTATAACCTTGAGCAAGTTCCCTAAACCTGCCTCTTGTGAATACCTACTTTACATCAAGGTTATGGGGATTAAATGACATTAAAAATATGAAATATCTTTGTAAAACACAAAATGTATGAATGTGTAAATCGTCAGTATGATGATTATTTTGGCTAAAGCAAAAAAAGCCTGATTCAGAAATGAAGTTTTATAAGTTCATGGTCAACTGTTCAGTAACTTGGTGAAATAGTGCTATTATGTATTTTTTTTTTTTTTTGCTATCCACAATATTATAGAAAGGAAATTTAATTAAAAAACATTAAAAATAATATGGAAGTGGAGACATGAGCCAATAAAAGTTAAGAAGTGTAATGAGTACAGGCTGAAACAGCACACTTAACTCAACCCATGTGTCTAGATGCAACTGCATATACAAGCGTGTCAGACAAGTGTCTGGCTTCACGTTTCCATATGGTTTCACTGTGTGAGAACAGGGGCTCAGTTAAGGTCGTAGTGGTAGACTTTGCTCTCAATTTCCTTCCATTTATCGGTTCGTGTCATTATTTTAAATGAGAATTTACATTTAATTCTTTATTACGATTACTATAATTGGCTTTGCCTCCAATGCATTTTTATTGATTTTTTTCTTTAAAAAAAAAATGCTGCCATACCTGTTGTTGAATAAGAAACCTAATCTCAGTTAGAACCTCCTGAGTCAAATATAGTGGCTTCTGTGCTAAAGTCTCAATGAATTCATTAGATAGCATAGCACAGGGGTGTTGAGTGCTGTTTGTATTGGTGACCACTGGCATAAACAAAACCAAATAAGCAGACAGAAGACTACATACTTATAAGTAAAAATCAACTTAATTTTATTTTGTTATCTGCTGGGCTTTTCCAGAATTAAAAATACAAAATCTAATCTTTTTAAGGAAAGATAGCATGAGATGATATACCTTAGTTTCACAGATGTATTAAAGACAGCTACAAATGAAGGAGAAAGAGGAAGGCTCAGTGAGGACTGACTGACGTGGAATCTAAGAAAGGAGATTTTAAGACAAAAATGTTGAGCTGGTGGAGTTGCTGGGGCTATGAGACCCTGAAGGAGGTACAGGAAGGGAGCGGGGACAGGGTATTGGTGCCTAAGAGCAAGAAGAATTGTTACCCTTCCTAATCTGCATATTTCAGCATCCTTTATCACTGCTCATTAATGCCAATTAATTGATTAGCCTTGGCCTATAATTCCTCAACAGCATTCATTTTTAAATTCTGTGAGTCTTGGTCCCAAATGAGACAACTACCATACCCTGCCAACTTGGGGCAAAGAGGATAATGAGATATTGTTTTCCAAGCCTTCTCTGGATGAAATCAAACTGGAGAGAATCCATCCCTTCCATGGAATAGAGAGGGCAGGAGAGGTTTGTTGCCAGCGACCAAACTAATAAAATCAGTCAGTTTTACATTTTACCAAAATTACCTCTGACACATGGGTTTTACAGTTGAGCTTATTCTGTCAATAAATTTTTCATGGAAAGTTAGGTTATTTAGATCAGTGAGGTTCACATCGCATACTCCAGCTGTACTATGCCAGCTAAATTGCAACCCAGTGGCCTGAAAGAATTAATTCATCTCCCAAAATGTGAAATTAAATCCTAGGGAGTAACATTACATGACTGATGATGTACTGAATTAAATTAAAGGAAGACTTGAATGCTTGTTAAAAAAATATCACTTACATAAACTAGTTTATAACCACATGTGAGCCTCCTAATGGATCATGTTATTGTGAATTCACCATAACAAAAATCCAAAATGCAAACTCTTAGAAGGCCGCTTAATTTAGGAAAAAAACACAATTTTGATCTTTTCTCTTTTACTTGTCAAATAATTCGATTTTTAATATTATGAGATTAAGGTAACACAGACTATTTTTGATTAATTTGCTAACCTACTAGATCTAGGAAATAAAGCACAGAACACATGTGCCTCTGACCCTGGGCCTTCTTGCAGGAGATGGCATTGATCATTTGCTGTTCTCTCGTGCAGCTGTATGCTATATTCATTTAACATCAGTGAAGTAGAGCCCTAAATATCATGGTGTGTGCCTTGCCTGTTAATGTCTTGAGATGCTGTGAGCTCATTAAATAAACGGAGGTGCTGGAGGACTTTGTGGTCACTCCAAACAACAAAACCACCTTCTCCAATACCTTCCTTACACACGGACCTTTTTCGGTAGTGGACCTTTACTCACATAGGAATGTACTTGTGTTTTATTTAGATTTGAAATTTAATGCAGGGGTACTAGAGAATAGCACCCCATGACAAAGTAGAGCAACAAGGGGATTGGGAAGGAGAGGTCACAGTTTCTTACTCTGGGACAAGCTAGGACCTTACTGTGTCACAAGAATGAGCATCCCTCAAGTAAGGAATAGCTAAAATATATGTGTTCCAATTTGTTTTTATCTTTTTATACCTATATTTTAATTCTTACAGCAATACTTTTCTTTCTCCTTTCTTTCTTTTCCAACCCTTCTGACTCTAAGTCACAGCCACAAAGACCTGGGAGCCACTTGGTCTCCTCTCTGAATGCAGTCTCTTCTTAGTTGAAATTTCAGATATTTGCCAAAGCCCTGGCCTGATCATGTCACTGCCCTGCCCAGAAGCAGCAGGTGGTAGGTACTCTGCCCCAGCTCCATCAGATCAAGTTCACTAGCTAGTGTTCAAATCTTCTCTGTGTGGCCCTGCTCTCTCATCCCCTGTGAGCTCTCAAAATCTATGATGGCTCCAGGGTTATTGGTGTCTCCAGTTTTTGAACTTCAACTATATCCTGAACCTGTAATAACCTCTTTACCTGGTCCAGGTCCTGGGCTTTGTCTCATAACTCCTTCATCCTGAGCACATGGAAGAAAACACCCAACACGTACCTGCTTCAGTGGCACTAATTCATGGGACTGAACTTCCTTCTAAACTAAGTACTGTAATCTGAGCTTAAATGTTCATTTACTTCTTAAAAATAAAAATTATTAGATAAGGGATTGAAAGTTCAAAAAATTCCTGTGAATATGTAATCCTCTGTCATGATTATACATCTACCTTGTCACTTACTCAGGTCCACTGTCAGCTATGATGTCGAGAATTCTCCAAACTGCAAGTCCTTGTCTCCACTAAGCTACACTAGCCTGTTCTGAGTTTACTGCCAGCATGAGAAATAGGGTAACAGATCAATGTTATGTGGGTTGCTATTTATGAATATTTGTCTGTAAGGGCTTTTTTTCTGGTAAGGATTTAAATAACAAAGAGTTGCCTGAGTCTAAAGCATGATTTCTTTCATAAATAGGAATCAATACTTATTTCTGGATAGTTGCAAGTGAAAAAATAATTAGCATATTATTATTCAGTGATTCTATTTCAACCTATATTTTGTATTTAGGATTCTAGGACTGTTCATCAGAGGCATTGAAGAAAACAGCAGGTCCAAGCGGGAGGGACTATTTCATGAAAATGAATGTATCGTAAAAATCAACAATGTGGATCTCGTAGACAAAACCTTTGCTCAGTAAGCACTTTTCCATTGTTTTGTTTGCTTTATTGATCCCAAGAATGGCTATAATCATTACTGAACTCATTATAATCAAAACTGTAGGTAGAATTTCTGGTCAGTTCCCTTTCAGTGATCCCAGGACATCCATTTTTGAACGCATCTAATGTTCTAGCATACTCTAACGTGGCCCACACACCTCTCTCCACGGTTGTAAGAATGATAAACCACAGAATATGGCAAGCCTTCCTGCCTGCTTGTCTCACTGGGGCATCAATGGATGGGTTTGTTTTTCCTGGGCTATGGGTCAGTTAGACTAGTATTTAATGGCTCTTTTCACAGGCTGTTAGTTCAGCTTATTAATTAACTTACTTGATGTCAGCAGTCTTCCTTAACCTGAAAAATCTGCAAGAGATGTCTATGAGGACTTGCTGGATCATAGGAACAAATAGCAAAAAATTAAAATATTCTCCCTCAAGAAATCGTCTCTCTGCATGTGAGAATGTCGTGGGAATAGTTTCCTGTACTCAAGAATTAGAGTATAGAGTAGCGCGATGCATATATATATATATATATATATATAGTTTTTAATGTATGTTGGCATTGCAGTGGGGTCCCGGAACAAGGGGATGTGAACTAATGCTCCTTAGTACTGATCACTTGCCTGTCCGTTTCTAACCCAAAGACTCCTAATGCATCTTCTCGCTGGGCATTTGCTGTCAACATTGCATGGGTAGGTGTAGAAGGGAGTGAGCACTTGTGGGTAGAGGACAAATAGAGACCGGCTGCTTAAATATGGAAAGAAATGAAGCTTTAAAAGAATCTGGTTTATTCAAATAATGATTGATAAAATTACACCTATTAGCGATGATTTTATATGCTACCTGGTATCCCAAAGTTCACCATCCATCGGAAAATTTAACAGATTTATATTATATTTAGTCTTTTTAGTATTTTTAATATTTATATATCAACAAGTTGAGAAATACTTCATAAAGTTTTTGCAAAACTTTGCAATGAACATTTTGTAAATAAAGGTACATTTAGCTACAATTTCCCATTTTCCCTATGTATGTATATATGGTACCCTTGGGGCACCCTGTACTGTGCTTTTTAGAAGGCCTTGGTAGGTATATAAGCAGACATTATCACTCCTCTTTTATAGCGCTGGAAATCGAGGCTTGTAAGAATTGAGTACGGAGTTAACATGGAGTAGAAACTGATTCCTACTCAAGCAAAAATAACATAATGGACCTGGCCAGAGAAGTTGGACAATCTAGAAACATCTTCCCCTAACCATATGAGGAATTAAGCCCTTCAGAAAGGAAGGAGGAGGGAGTGGATTGAGGGACCAGATAGCAGTTGAGATTATGATTAGTTGTTATTTGGTCTGACTTCTGGAGATGGAGACCTGAAATAAAGGTCGCTTAATTTAAATGAGATTAGTATCTATTTTTTTCCTAAAGAAAAATAAGCATGGATGTGGGCAGTGCATAGTTTGTGTGGCAGCTCCAAGTCATCAGCAAATCAGGCATCTTTTGTCTTCGTGCTTTGCGTCTCTTACCATGGGGCTACGATCTTTCCTTCCATCATTTCTGAGTTTTAAGAAATAGGGAAGAGAAACAGGAGGACAAGAAAAATTTCTGCCTTCCCGTTGAGCCACACTCTTTCAAAAAGCTTTTTCTTTAACTCCTTGACTTGCAGTTCATTAGCAAGAAAGACTGGGGAAAGTAGTTGCTTTACAGAGGCATGGGGCACACCAGGGCCTAAGGAAAAGGGGGAGAAGAAGTAGTAGGAAATCTGAGCAAGAATACAGAGTACTAGGGCAGAAACGTAGAAAGTATCAGGACTCCAGGTACATGTTGGGCTGACACTCCACTGGGGCATTTGGGCACAGTGAAAGTACCTCCTGAAATGTTTCCATGAGGACACCGCAGCGTCAAAATAGAGCTTCTGTAACACAGTCTATGTCAGAGAAGAGCAGTACTTTAGAAGGAAATCCTCAAAGGAATGTAACTAATAATCTGATCCAGAATATCAAACCATTGATAAATATCAATATACTTAAAGTTTGCTTTTTATATTCATTTCAGTAATCATCCTGCTTAGATTTTTGACTTACAAACATGTATAAGCTGTGGGACATTGGACAACTTATTTAGCCTCTCTGAGCCTCAACTTTCTCCTTTGCAAAATGAGAGACAATTGTATTTACCTATCATGTTTGTTAAGATTAAATGAGAAGCGTGTGTGTGTGTGTGTGTGTGTGTGTGTGTGTAGTAGTGTAACCCAGTGTGGAGGCACCTTCTGGGCAGGGGATAAGTGGTACCTAGTATGCACTTAACAAAGTCCTACTGACAATGATACTGATAGTGTCTCCCCAGAGCTTATTGCTACTGTGATGCTCCCCAGTGCCCCCATGCTGTGGCATTTTAGAAAGTGGTGTACTACAACACAGTGTATCATGGTCTGTTTACTAACTGTCTTTCAAGGGCTCAAGATGTCTTTCGTCAGGCGATGAAGTCCCCAAGTGTGGTCCTCCATGTGCTTCCACCTCAGAACCGTGAACAGTATGAAAAATCGGTCATTGGGCCTCTTAACATTTTTGGTAACAGTGATGGCGTTTTGAAAACAAAGATGCCACTTCATGTCCATGGAAAATCTGGAGGAAAGACAGTTAATCTTGCAGGGACGAACAGTCCTGAAGCAGACGCATCAACTTCCCTGACTCAAAACAAGAGTCCCCGAGTCCCAAGACTTGGAAGAAAACTGTCCTCTCCCCCACTCTCCCCTCTCATGGGATTTGGCAGCAAGAAAAATGCAAAGAAGATTAAGATTGACCTAAAGAAAGGTAATTATTGAATTATGCTTAATAGCGTTCTATTGTTGTAGCATGTAAAATTGGTTAAGAGAAATGCATTTAGGCTAATTTAGTTAATTCTCCCTTCATTTAATTGTATCAAAGAATAGATTTAAGTGTACGCTTTAGGTAACTTGAATTTGTTGAAATGGTTGTACTTTCTTATTCTTTTTCTGCTGGAGAATATAGATTATTTGAAGTAAGAAAATAGTAAAGACATGACAGAGAGTGGGAAAAAAATCATTGCAAACTTGATAGTAACAGAGCAATATTGTGTTGCAACATGATACTAAATAGGCCCGAAAATTCAGTTGTTCCTGTTTTGAGCAACAATTAGTGATTTTTGAAGCAGCCTTGAGACCAAGTGTAAAAATCATATTGTTTATATAAGACAGTTACATATCATTTCCATAAGACAGTTAACAGCAAAAATATTAATTCTCAGAAAGCAAATATGTAGTGATCACTAATTTCACTGACTCAACATTGCAAACACTTTTCCAAAACATACCTAATTTCTAAAGCATGTACTGATATGGTCTTTTCTTTCTTTACCTTTTTAAACTTTTCCATTTCAAGCACAGAGCAGTGAGAACAGACCATGTGTGTTCATGCATATTTATGCAATATTATTTAAACACACATAAGCATTCATGCACTTCTCTGCTTTTGTTCATTTTGTAACCTCTGCCTGATACTCCCTTCTTCCATTGCACCCTTCTGAAAGTCTGTGTTTTTAACATAATTCAAAGAAACCCAGAGCTCATAGATTCTTTACTGAATAAATAGAAAATTTAAGGTCATAGTAGCTTTAGAATACCAATTAATAAATATTTCAAAAAACAAATACATCTTTAATTAGGACATGATTCTGAAAAGATCTCTGATGCAAATTTCATTCACCTATGAGAATTCTATACTGAGAAGAAAATTGTGCTATCTTGAAGGTACAGTATTCTAGTGTGCTTAGCAATTACCTTTTTTTATTAAATGCAACAGTTGTACAAATGAGCTATGTATAGGACACAGTTTTGGGTGCTTTGAGGATAGAAAATAAATCAGATACAGAATCACCTTAAAATGCCATCATAAAGTCTCAAATGCAAAAATGAAGAATATGACATCACAGCTGTACTTTGAGAAGATTAATCTGACAGCAAAAAGATACACTGAAGAAGAGACCACACAAGAGAGGATCAGTAAGGGTACATGGCCCCTGAATGTGGAAATATAACATGCATCCCTTAATAGATGGCCAGCCAGAGGAAGGAGGAAAGAGGAGAATTACAGTGACTGCTGAGGTTTTCATCTAGAGCAACTTGTGTAATGGAGATGTCATTGCTGGAAGTTAGGACATTAAGTAGATGAGGATATTTGAAAAGTCAGGATCTGGATCAGAGAAGGGAGGGGGTCTGTAGTCAAGTTTGAAATGTACATGGTGATATCTAGGAAGTTCCCATCAGAGGCCAAACCAAGAGATACAGGTCTCTTCCATAGGGATGTAGTAGTTTGAGCCAGGAGCTGACCAAGGGAGATTAGAGGACAAATTGGTTCAAGACAGATCCTTAGGGAAGATCTGTGGTTATAGGGGAGGACAGCATGTAAGAGAGAGTGACAGAAGTGATGCCATCAGAGAGGTAGGGAAATAATCAGAAAATAAGGACATGAAAATCATGCAGGGAGTGAAGTTCAGTGATATGGTTGGTGGGACATGGCCAGGGGAAAGAAAGTCCAGTGTGAAGACTATGGCCGTGGGCAGGTCACTGGAGATTGGAGCATGAGGAAAGAATAAGAGTGGAGTAGGGGCTCTTTAGGGGAGAAAAATCTGAGCACATCTGTAGACTCCGTGAGATCAAAGATGCAAGAGAACTGGAACGAGATACGAGACTCCTATGACGGGGTGATGGGGGCAGCGGGCCTGGAACAAAGGCCACAGAGCAGTGTGTCAGGCTGGCCAGCTGACGAGTACTGACAAAACTCACCTCATGTCGCTTTTGCTTCTCAGCAAAGCATGAAGTCAAGTTATAATATACTACGAAATCAGTCTCCTGGGCATATGGATGACACGCATTTCTTCTAGAACCTGAAAAAATCAATGTTACACTCTGTGTCGGCCCTAAATACACTTAAGATACCATCAAACTATCAGGAATTATAAACCATATTTGAAACTAGAATACCTGAAGCATATGTAAAACCTCCCGAAATATGAATGTTTTACTTATTTTATGTTAGTCAAATTAGGTAGAGTTTACTGTAAGATTGACTATAATATCACTCATGCTTAAGGTGACTATCCATTTTCCCATTCTTCTACACTAGGCCCTGAAGGACTGGGTTTCACTGTGGTTACAAGAGACTCTTCCATACATGGTCCTGGTCCCATTTTTGTAAAAAACATTTTGCCAAAAGGAGCAGCAGTAAAAGATGGGCGCCTGCAATCGGGGGACAGAATTTTGGAGGTAAGAATTTCCTGTAGTATCTTCAGTAACATATTCCTTGGCATTTAAACAAATATATGGACATATATTTGGCTCAAATATATATATGTGTGTGTGTGTGTGTGTGTGTATTTTAGAGATAGAGTCTCACTTTATTGCCCTCTATAGCATGCCATAGTGTCACACAGCTCAGCTCACAGCAACCTCCAACTCCTGAGCTTAGGAGATTCTCTTTTCTCAGCCTCCCAAGTAGCTGGGACTACAGGCACCCACCACAATGCCTGGGTATTTTTTTGTTGCAGTTTGGCCAGGGCTGGGTTTGAACCCACCACTCTCGGTAGATGGAGCCAGCACACTAGCAGCTGAGCCACAGATGCCGCCCCTAATATTTATATTTTGAATGTAATATATTGAAAAGTATTACTCATAGACAAAATAAGGACTTCAAGCATAGAACTAGTTAATGAGCAGCCTAACTTTATAAGTCTCCAATCAGGTCAAGGATGTGGGGCCAAATAATAACAGATGCTTTTCCCTGATGTCTTTTTCTAATTTCTACCTCCCAGGGTTTCTGGGGAATTTGGATTGAATCTAGGAGTTCATCTATATTCAGTTAGGGCTAAGAATTTCAAAGCCACATCCAAGCCTTTGTAACAGTTCCCTTAGACTTTTGCCAGGTTGGGCCGGTATGTCTCAGGTGGATCCAAGTCCTATCCAGATCAGCAGCATCTGTGCTAGGCTAGGCTTTACAGGGAAAACTTCTCAAGAATTTTGCATAGGGAACTGTTTGAGGCACCCAAAGCAAGAGGATTATTACTTTTCCATTTATTTCTATTGAGGGCATCATCTTCATGATTATGTATTGTCAATTTATCTTTGAAGAAATCATCTTCATTGAAAGCAACACTATAGCTTTTTGTGTTATTCTCGATCACAAAAGAAGATGTACCCAATGACTGATGTAAAATTTGAATTTTCAATCATCCTTGATAATCCTGTGGCTATAATTTTCCGTCTGTGGAGAAAACCATAGCATTATATCAATAGTTTCCTACTTCTAGGGGATTTGCTGAGTGATAAGGGTTCACTTCCACTTATTGTATTGAGCAGAAGGAAATAGTGCCAGGTAAACATTTGAAATCAGCTTCATACCTATTTGAAGAATCATTTTCTGGTATTGTTCAGTTTGATTTTCCCTCATTAACAGTGTAATGTCTTAGGGAAAAGGTTGGTAGTAACTACAGACTGAGTTTGGCCAACATTTTAACTATGAGGGTTGGTGTATTATTGACAACACAGTTGGTTTCCACCTATATGTCTAGTTTTCATCTTTTCAGACCTTCATTGTTGTGATAGCCTATTTGCTGCTTACTTTCAAAAACTAGCTAGGACAGAAGAGGATAGCAAGTGCTATAATCAGTGCTGTTTCTATGATCTCATTCATTAGGTAAATGGGAGAGATGTCACCGGGAGAACTCAGGAAGAGCTTGTGGCCATGCTCAGGAGCACCAAGCAGGGAGAGACGGCATCACTGGTCATTGCCCGCCAAGAAGGAAATTTTCTGCCCCGAGAGCTGGTAATTATCAGAACTCAGTCTCACTGTATTTTTCAATGCAGACTTTAACACTGAATGAATTCATAATAGCTGAGGAATGAGTCCTGAATCACAGACTTCATCTATAAAGTTGAGTCACGCTGATAATGTTGCCCCATTTGGGATATCACCCTTTTAGGGAACTGATGTAATGAGTTGGGTATATGTAAACAGTGCGTCTGAGGCATATACTCAAACACCCTTTAGCAATAAGTAACTATTGAACAATAGTCAGATAATTCAATAAAATATACATGGAGTATGTGCCAGGTGCCAAGCGCTACGCAAAGCACAGTCAGCAAAACAATTCATGGATCTACTTTACTGGAGTTTATGGTCTAAAAGGAAGTAAAAATATAGCCAAGTATTCTGAATTGCTCTGTAGATTATGAAGGGAAATGCAAAGTGCTACATTAATAGAACAAGAGAATTTAACGTATTTTTGAGGGCTAGAATCGGCATCTGGAGGAAGAGAATTTCAGGAGTCTTATTAAAAATGTACACCCTTTGACCCAATAACCACACTTCTAGTAATCTGTCCTAAACTTATGGGAATAATGTTAAAAAAATTTGCGTCTATTGATTTTTTTTTTCCTAAAGTCCTATCTATTGCAGTGATGTATCGGGTGCTGTACTCCCATAAGGCATTGGTTAAATAAATAACTAGAGAGCTCTCTAGTGAAATATAATAGGTGCTTAAAATGGCCTCTATGAAGAATTGATAATAACATGAGAAAATGTTTATAATATAATGGTAAGTTAAAGAGTAGGGTATAAAATTATATATGCGGTATGATCAAATTACATTAATGACTTAAAGAAAAAAAAAGAACTGGAAAAAGATGTACCAGGAATGTTGGGGCTATGAGAAATTTTCATTTTCTAATTTTTTGTAACAAATACATATTACAATATTTTATTGAAATACTACACTTTTAAGAAGGCTACGGAAATCTCAAAAGGACTTTTAGGGCTAAAAACAAAGAGAAACAAATGTGTGAAAAGGACTTTGAATTACCTCCTTGTTTGTTACTGATATTTTCTGTGAATTTTTCTAAGAAATGACAAAGGCACATATAGGTAACATGATAGATTTATAGAGTTAGGTTATCAGAACAGCTGAGAGAACTGTAGATATTCAGCCCGAAGAACAGAAAGTTTCGGAGACATGATAATTGTTACCAAATATGTAGAGAGCTATTGTAGGATCGGAAAGGTGGCTCAATTTATTTCTTCAGACGGTCTCTATCCACTCATCTACTTATGCATTAAGTCAGCTGACAATTTACTGAGATTCTTCTGTGTCCAAAATTGGAGGTTGTGGATATACAAAACGTTAGCTGCCAAAGTAATTAAGACTCACTTTCTGTCCTCCTTGAGTTTATACTGAAACAAATGATTGGAAGGGCATAATATTGTAAAAATATTCTAACTATTGCACCTGTCCAAGAATGAAATAGGTGATGTAGAACACTTAATCAGAGTCTACCCTACTACTTGTCAAAGTTGCTCTAAAAAACAGTTCTCCCACTGAGGTTAGATACGACCGTACCACCGCTGTTCTCTCTCTGTATTCTGATCCTCTACTCTATACATGTGTTTATATTCATGTGTGAGTGGACAGCCTCACTGAACCACCTCTTTTGTACATTAATCCTCCCTGGTACTGGCCAGAAGACGCCCTTCCCTTCAATTTTCCTTGGCATGAGATTTCTTTTTGATCGTGCCTTGTCTTTCCCAACATCTTTTCCATTCTTCCCCTTTCCCTGTTGTAGGGAAGATCTGTAGAGAAATAGGGAAGAGAAGTAAAAACAGAAATACAAGCCCTAAAGCTGACAGCCCCCTCTCCCTTCCCATGCTGATTCCTTTGTACCCATTCTGGAGCACAGAATCCTGAACGTCTGCCTCATCTCCGCACAGAGATGAAGCTCTCACACTTCCTGAAGAGAAACTCCCTGGAAATGTGGAATCCAGATTTTTTTTTTCTCTAAGATATAGATATATTTTTCTGTCAATGTTTTGTTTATCCAAAGATTTCGGTCTTTCCCTATAAGGGTCAAAGTAATAAGAAATGATAAAAAGGGGGAAGCACGTGTGTGTGGCCAGAAGCCCATCCACTTCTCGCACCATTCTTTGCTTGCTAGAAGTAAAACTCTCTCCTCAGGGGGACTATGTGCATAGGTCAGGGATAGAACAAAAAAAGACATTTTCACGGTGTATTCTAGAAAAATAAAAAGCTGCATAAAAAAGAAACATTTCCGTCGGCCCCTACGCTGGCTGGCAAGAGAAACTAATGACAGAGCCTCCAGCCGGCCACTTAAACCCTCAGGAGCCCCAGTTCCACTTATAGTTCCTTACACCCTTCTCCCATACGTCCTCTCGAGTTTCTTACTCCATAGCTAATACCTTCTTCCTAGAAGCTTTGCTTCTCCCCTCAGGTAAGGGGGTAAGGGGTGCTGATCTCATCCCCAGTTTAAAACTCTGACTGCATTTCCCATCGAAGATAATTACATCTGGAAGTCGCAAATGGAATGGCCCTCAACATTGGCTCTGGAATTCAATTCCCAGAACTCAAGTTCTGTACCCACCACTGGCTAGCTGTGTGATCTAGAGCGGATCACAGTCATCGAAGGCTCAGTTTCCTCATCTATATCAGAAGGATTGTTGTGAGGATTAAAAAAGAGAATGCGTGCAAAGCTCTGAGCATAGATTCCGGCCAACTGTAAGTTCTCAATATCCATAATTATCTCTTCTAGTACACTGCCACATCGATCATCATAATACTATACTTTAAATATGTTAAGAGATAAATGGATTTTATACAAGCTTCCCTGGGACTCTTGGCTTTGAACAATGACTATTTTCTTTTTTATTTTAAAATGTATTCTGGGGTCCAAAAATACTAAATTACAAACAAAAATTTCATAACCAAGCAAAATCATGAGTGCGGCAGCCTGTATATATTATTTTACTCTCATTTAAGGGAATCCAGTGAAATTTTATTTCTATCCCAGAAATGACATCATAAGCTGAGCCCACCAGGGAGCATATGATTATAATTGTGCAGCTATGAGATGATGGTGCAAATAAATAATGTGTCCTCATCATTTTTAGTTTTATACGAAGTTGGGAGGGCATGGGGTTAGTATTTATTCCCTTAGAACTTTCTGGGAAATAACCTAAACTCTCAAAAACAACAGTCCACCATCCAAATATGTGGGCTGTCCTTTGTAACCACAGCAAAACAAGGGCCGTTAAAGCTTATGAGCACCTAAGTCACATGGACCCAGAATCTTTGTTTTGGAGAAATATGGAATATATTCTTTTTTACAGCCCAAGTGCCCGCTTTGAGCTCTAAGGAGCAAGAACCGTATAGGAAGTGTAAAGAGAGGTCGTGTTTGGCTTGCACTGAACTATTTCAGTGGGGATTACTTCATAGCGTGGCACACACCGGGCTGTTGGAAAGGGCGAAATGAAGAACAGCGTGGTAGGCGGTACAGCTTCATGTTTGCCTTTCAAAACTCAAAGGTGGTGTCGCTTTGGTCTCTTCCGCCTTATCATGATAGATGCACACACTTGACTTTCCATCGAAAATCTGGCAGGATGAAGGAAGGACAGCACTTCCTGCTTTTGTCTTGTCCTATCTCCTTTGAAGAAAACAAACTATGTTTATTGTTTTCCTGTTCTGAGAAACCGCCTTCTCCCTCTTGGGAAGCCCGGCTCGTTCGTGAGCTTTCTACCTTCTTAAGCGCACTGCACTGCCAGTTTTCTGACAGTGGAATCTTCCTTGCTTCCTGGTTATCATTAGCTGCTTGTCAAGTGGTCAGCAGTGATACAGGAAGTGCCAATATAGGGCTGTCTCATGGATGCGACCCTCTGCCATTCCGCAGGCTGTATTATCTGTCCATGTCCTGGTCGTTTCTCCTGACCTGCCTCCTTTAGACAGTTCTTTAGAACTGTCCCGAACTGTCTCTTCTCCCTGTCCTTCCTCCTAAGCTCATTTAGCCGACCTTCCTCCTGTCTGTTGCAGGCAGGGTTGAAAATCAATGAGAAGAATTTATGCAGTAATAGCCCAACTATTTAGCTGTTTCTGGTATCTTTACCAAAAGAACTGTGCTTCAAGGGTAATCTTTCCTGAATCCCAGTCTGAAAGGTCCTTTGATGCCTTCAACTCCTGGCTGGGTGAGAGTTTATTAAAGATGTGTTCACATAAGGAACATTTTTTTCAGAAGGCACTTAGAGATTAGTGTTGGTAATAGAATTGGAAGGTGAAACTGCTGCGTTTGTGTCTTTGCTTGAAATGGAAACAAACCACTTAATCAGTGGTTTGTTTGGTCTGTTCTGTAAGAGACAGGACCCACCACTTCTTTTCTATTCCTGATACCTGAAATACTTTTTGTCTTATGCTATGTGTCAGATAAAGCCATCTTTCCACTTAAGAAAGATCCTGAGAAACTGAGAGCTAGAGAGGAAGAGACTGCCGTTTGCCATGTATGTACACGCACCTGTGCACGTATGTGCAACTTTTTTTGTCTGTTGGGGAGAAAGGAATATTCTGCTATTTCTTTGTTAACTTCCTTAACGTTTCATATTCCAACATGCTGCCTTATCTTTAAATTATCCTGAAAATCACAGCAACCCCTGGTGGGTAAAACGAGCGGAGAAAAATTTCAAATGTATTTATAATTTCTACCTGCCAAGTTTGCCTGCTATTAAATGCTGGCCTCTGCAAGTGAGATTAACTGCATTTCAAGCAAGCAAGTTTCTCCTGGCTGGCATGATTGAGAACCAAAAGTTAGCCATGTTTGTCATGCTGATTTGACCTTCACTTAAGAATATTGCTTTTGCTGAGAAAAAATGATACACACGTGTGTGGAGACTTCCTTAAAAGTTGCTGAGGTTCATATATCCAACACTACCGTATTTACCTGTCCCTGTGGCTGGTAAGCAAGTGAGATACGGTGTCAGCTCCTTTGTGGTTT